GCAAAATATTCTTTGGATTACAAAAACTACATAAAAAATGAACAAAACCTGCAATTATGGAAGTATTGAGAATGTGCAATCCTTCATTGCAATGAAAGATTCCAAAGTGACATTGTCCACAGAATTTATTCCACTGAAGGGTTCAGACAATTTGATTTTAATGCAAAGGAAAATGAAAGTGAGCACTTCATGAAAACATTTCTCTTCTTATGCATTTGGACTGACTCATAAAAATAGAATGTAGCAGGATATCAAGAAATGCTCGAAACAAACTTTCACAATAAAGTAAAAAAAAAAAAAAAGGAAAAAAGAAAAGACAATCTAAAAATTGTCTGCAATCCAGGAGAAAGCCTGTGCCTTGTGTCTGGGGGGAAAGAGGGAAAACACGTGTAGCATGACTCCGTGTGCCATGTGATCTTTCCCCGAGTATTGCTACATTTTGACGTTTGGCCCAACTGCACAGGTGAGATGTCCTTCGCCGAAGTCCCAGTCCCCAGGCAGCCAGGTGGGTCTTCCAGGGGCAGGAGGCTTCGGCCCTCAGAATCCACCATGGTCCCTGCGCTCATTCTGAGCTTATTGCCCAAAGGGTATTTTAAAATAAAGGTCTGGAAATGAATTGCTCTCTCTTTCATCAAAATTTGAAATGCCACATTATTTTACGAGGAGTTACATTCACAGGAGGAACAAATAAGTGATTTCAAGAGTCAAAGTTGTTACGATATCCTGGCAAAATCAAAGTCACGGGAAATAGAGTAACACCGGATGTTTGATAATGACACATGGCAAATTTATACTTTTGACTCTTCAGCCCCCTCACCCCCTCAGTGCTCAGCATGGGGCATATAACACACATCCATGGACCCTCATGGATCCATCCCTCATAGACACCGAATTGCTAATATGCAAGATAAATGCCCATCATATAACAAGCACTGCAGACTCGGAGACTGACCTAGATCGTTAGCATCCTTCGTTTTCAAAAGATGTATGCAAAGGGAAGCCAGGAAGCTGACACTGAGAAAGGCCGAGAGAGCTTTACACGGTGTTGCAGACTCGCGTCCGGAGAAAACAGATTTGATTTTAAATAAACAATAAAAGCAGCAGACTACAGCAGCTCACGAAAAGGGGTATGAAAAGATCACAATGATCTTAAATTAGACATATAAATGGGTCATCAGAAACACGTTTTTCAATGTTAAGAATGAAACCCAGGATTAAAAAAGAATCTGTTTTTATTTCAAAGGTTGCTTCTTATATTGAAGCTCATATTAAAGCAACAGTACAATGTTCATAAAATATAAGTGTGATGCCGTAACATTTCTTACATGTCAGAATACTGATATTTGTATGTATACTAAAATAAGAACTTTAAAATTGTACAAATAGATACATTAAAAATGGCATAGAAATAGGGAGCCTCTCACTGAAACAAGACAGTTATATCTGGCACGTATTAGTTTAAGATGAAAGTAGAAGCAAAAAGATTTACAAGAATCAGCAGTAACAAGATTGATGCTCAAGAGACATAATTGTACATTGTATTGTACATACATTGTATGGGTTTAAGCTGGCTGAATATTATATATTTCAAGTTTAAAAATGCACTACATATAGAGTGTCCGTAGTTTAAGGCGAAATTACAGCTCAGAACTGTTGTCCTTTCTAATTTTGTGGAAGCTTCTTTGACAAATAAAATAAAAAAAAAAAAAAGAAGAAGAAGAAAGAAAGACTTAGATGTTCGTAACACACAAACAATTTCCCTTCATTGTAAGTTCACCGTTAGACTTCTCCTTCACTTAAATATTTTGTACGCCAAGTGGTTTTTCTCTAGGGAAGTTGATAAACAACTTCAATATTTGCCTTTTTGCGAGAAAAGGTACTTCACAGTATTTACCACTTTGATGTCCTTGCAGTTTTATTAAATGTATCCTCTCTGTAAAACTTTGCTTGTTTTAAATGAGCCTTTCCTTGTTTTAAAAAAATACCTGTTTACATATCTTCTAGATTCTTCAGAACGCCAGACACAGTTCTTAAGGCCAAATTTGTATCGTTATTGTTAAGAGTCGTCATCAAAAGTGTCTTTGGAACCGTACAAGTCTGCTAGTTTCTTAAAACGAGGTCCCCAGTTCTGTAGGTAGTCATAGTCCAAGTCCGAATCTGTGGTGGCCGACTCTAGGGAGCTCAGGGACCCGGCCACCGAGCCCCTGCCTTCGTAACCGTAGATTTGGATTGAATCATAAGGAGGGGCAGTGGGGTCATTATCCGCCTCCTGTATTCTCGTATTGATGAAGTCATCGACGTCCACGCTGTTGGGTGCCGGCCGGAGCCCGGGTCTAGGCATGTACTGATACTCGGGTTTTATGTCTTTGCGAGGGATGAAGCCATTGATCCCGTCTGGATTCTGGAGGGTGGCAATATCAAAGGCTTCTGTGTCTTCCTCCCCACCCCCTTCGTCGTCGTACGTGATGATGTTCTCACGGACGTCTTCCTCCTCAAAGACGATGAGTGGTTCTTTCTTTTGCCTTCTCAGGGTCACAAACAGCACTACGATCACTACAAGGAAAGCACAGGAAAGTGAGCACAGATCAGGTGTCCCTGGAGTCCGTGCCCCCACCCCCCAACCTCGAGCCCTGCTCACCGTAGGGTGTGGGGGCCTACGCTCAGAATAGGAACCAGTCTATCACTCTAGGAAACCAGAGCTTCACCTGGAGTCCCCCAAAGATGCGCAAAACCACCCTCCACCTGGCTCTTCCTCCGCCAAGCGCTGCCAGGAAAATAGGATTCCAAACCAACTGGCAGCTGGAACTATTCTGAGCTCTTTACGAGTCCGACACTATTTGGAAGTCATCTTCCTGAGAATTAGGAAGATTCTAAATCGACTGGTCTACAGCCTCTTAAAAATGGCTTATGTTGGTTTCTTTTTCCAAAAGGGGACAGCTGTGTCACCAAAGCTGATGAATAAGGACAGAGACCTGCGGTCCTACCTTTCTATAGGGGTGAGGCTCGGTCCTGCCCAGAGGGCCGGGGTCAGAGCAGGGGGGTGATGAACAGTGATCCTACTGGACCTTCCTAAGAAACTTACCGTAAGAACCACTGGGGAGGGGGGGTGCTTATAATGACCCCCAGGAGACAAATGTCCTCTATTTATTCAAACACAGGAAGGTAGCATCGGCTGTACCCCAGGGAAAGCAGCTGTGTCCTCCCTGAGAGGCAACTCCCCTATGCTCAGGAACCTAGGGTGGGTGGGCAGCACTGCCTAACAGGAAACTGAGACACAGCTCAATTCTTCGTCCTCCACCTCCTCACAAGAGGCTTCTACAATATTCCATGAGAACGGCCTCCACACATGCAGCTCCGCCAAAAAAAAGGTTTGTGCCTGAATCTGGCAAGAGGCTGAGAGCCCCTCCAGGGCCACCATCACTGGGACATACAAGGAGGGGGGAGTCCTTGATCCCCCAAGGCTGGATGCAGCACCCGGTACCCAATTCTCAGGAACTCTTTGGGGACCTGAACTCACCGACTCTTCCCTACGCAGCTGGGCCCCCTCAACTCATTCAACGGAGAACCAAACACCACGGGCCAAGCATGAATTCCGTGTCAGAAACCCCTGGGTGTGCAAGCTGATTCTCCTGCTGCCTGACTTCTCTTCCCAAAGCCCGCGGAGGTCAACCGAGGGCACCGCTGTTCTTACCAGAGGAGATCAGGGCGCCAGTGGGGCACCAACCCAGCCTGCAGGGCGGGAGAAGGCCCCTGGGTCCGGAGGGGCGGAGGCTCGGCCCGATGCTACGATGCGCTTGGCCAGGCCCTGAGGCCTTCCTGTGAGGTCTCTGGCCTCGAGATTAGTCTTTCCAGCTCTCGCCCTTCTCCTTCCTCCACTAAGGCAACCGTGGCTCGAACCCCAGGCCTCTGCCCACTGACCTCTCCTGCATGACCTCAGGGGCGCCCTCCGCACCCCGCTGCCGCCCTGCAGCCCTGCCATCCTGCAACTGCCCCTCGGAACCTGGCCTGACCCTGGAGAGTGCACAACCTCGACCCCGCCCCCACGCCCCGCGGCCCGCCGCCCCCCCCCCCCCCCCGCCTTTTCTCCGGTCCTGGCCTCGGCCCGCGGCCCACCCTGGAGGCCGCCTGCACCCCGGGGAGCCCCTCCCCCATCGCCTCGGGTCGTGGCCTCCGCCGGTGGCCCACCCTGGAGGCTGCCTGCACCTGCGGGGAGCCACCCCCATTGCCCCGGGTCCTGGTCTACGCCCGCAGCCCACCCTGGAGCCCTCCCCCTCCCGCCCTCGTTGGCTCAGGTCCTGGCCTCCACCCGTGGCCCACCCTGGGAGCCCTCCCGGCCACCCCCGTCGACTCAGGTCCTGGCCTCCGCCGGAAACCCACCCTGGAGGCCGCCTGCACCTCAGGGAGCCCTCCCGGCCTGCCACCCCCCCCCGTCGTCTGGGGTCCTGGCTTCCCCCCCGCAGACCACCCTGGAGGCCGCCTGCACCCCGGGGAGCCCTCCCCCTCCCGCCCTCGTCGGCTCAGGTCCTGGCCTCCACCCGAGGCCCACCTGGAGGCCGCCTGCACCCCGGGGAGCCCTCCCCCTCCCGCCCTCGTCGGCTCAGGTCCCGGCCTCCACCCGAGGCCCACCTGGAGGCCGCCTGCACCCCGTGAGCCCTCCCGCACCCCCTCCCGTCGGGCCCCCGCCCCCGCGGCCCGCGGCCGCCCTTACCCAGCAGGATGACGATGCAGGCGAGGATGGCGATGAGCGCGCCGGTGCTGAGGCCGGCGTTCAGCACGTAGGCCTCGGCGTTGCAGGAGAGCAGCGCCCCGTGCACGTCGCACCCGCACACTTTGATGGTCAGGGTGTTGGTGCTGCTCATGGGCGGGATCCCGCCGTCGCTGATGACCACGGGCAGCAGGTACAGGTCCTGCTTCTGGCGGCTGAAGCCCCCGCGCCGGGCGTACACGCCTGCGGTGCTGTCTGCGGGGAGAGCACAGGGGCTCGCGGCCGGCGCGCACCGGCTCCGCACCCCCCCCCCGGGTCTCCACCGCGTGGGGCCCGACCTGGCACCGGGCCGCGCCTTACTCCGTGGATCCGAATGCCCACACGGATGCGGCCTTGGGCGCCCCGGCCTCAGAGCAGCGCAGGGTGGGCCTGGGCCGCGGGCGCCCCGAGAGCACAGACAGACCGACTCCGCACGCGGGGGTCACAGGACACACAGAAAACCCTTCTTCTTCACGTTTGCACGTTCCTGCTCGATGGCCAGCCTTTGGCCAATTGCTGTGCCCGTGTGCGTAAGAGATCTCCAGCCCACACACAGACCTCGCCCAAACCGTAAACCCACTTGTGAGCCCTAAAGGAAAATATTATCTTTGAGGACAAAATATTTTATGAACCCAGCAGCAGCTGTATAGTTTCTTTTTTGTTATGTTTAAAATCCAATTTTAAGGGATCCCTGGGTGGCGCAGGGGTTTAGCGCCTGCCTTTGGCCCAGGGCGCCATCCTGGAGACCAGGGATGGAATCCCACGTCGGGCTCCCTACATGGAGCCTGCCCCTCCCTCTGCCTGTGTCTCTGCCTCTCTCTCTCTCTCTCTCTGTGACTATCATGAATAAATAAATAAATTAATTAATTAATTAACTAAAAAAAAAATCCAATTTTAAGGTGTATAGTTTCTTTGAAATCTAGGCACCATCCACCACCTCATTAAATATGTGGTACCTCCTGCTCAAAATAATCCCGAGGTCTCTCTGTTGTCCACACAGCACAGCCCCCTCTACAGAGCAAACCACGAGATTTTCCCCTTATGATTCTACTCCACTTCCAGGGTCTCATCCCACCCATCCCAGTGGCCCAGGACAGCCGGACACGCAGGCGGCCTTCTGTTTCCGCAGCACACCCAGCTTCCCACCTGCCCCTTAGCCACTGTCCGGCTTCCCTGGAAGCTGTTCCTGTAGCGCGACAGCTAGACTCCTCAAGCCTCAAAACTGGACTGAAAAGTCATCGCGTCAGGGAGGCCTCTCCTGTCATCTCCTTCGTGGCCCACAGCACCCTGTGTTCTTACAGAAACCCATACCGCACCGGTGTGCCACTGTTGGTGGGCTTAACCGCTTCGACCTCACCTGGACTGTGAACTTCAAACACTAGGGAACTTCATCCGATTCACCTCAGTCTCTCCAGTGTTGGACACGCAAGAGACATTCAGTAAGTATTTTCTGAACACATGGCACGACTGTGTTCTGAGAGAAGTTAAAGCAAAATTCCAGATGTTGGCTTCCATATATTGATTTTTTTTTAGAGATTTTATTTATTTATTCATGAGAGACACACACACAGAGAGAGAGAGAGAGACAGAGACAGAGACAGAGACAGAGACGCAGGCAGAGGGAGAAGCAGGCTCCATGCAGAGAACCAGACATGGGACTCAATCCCAGGACTCCAGGATCAGGCCCTGGGCCGAAGGCGGCACTAAATCGCTGAACCCACCAGGTGTCCCAAGCTTCCATATATTTCACAATCTTTTGTGACCTAAGCCCCCAGCTACTTCCTCATCATATTTTTTTTTTTGCAGATCTGTACCAACCCAACGATACCTTTTTTTTTTTTTCTTCAGGTTGTATGCTCTGGGGGAAACACGGGTAACCACAAAAGAGGTGAGATTTTTAGTGTGTTCGATCAAATTACATAGTACACACAGTGCACACGCACACCTTCAGTGTGGCCTGCCTCTGCCTGTGAGTTCAGAAGCAGTAACTTGCAGCGATATGAGTGTTATAACAACATCATCACCCAATAGCCGGCAGGTTTTAGGTGGACGGACAGTACCGTGAATTAGTTCTTGTCATAGGAAGAAATATCTTAGAATCTCAAAATTAAATTGATATCTTCTAGATGAAAGGAAATGTAGTAGTACATTTTATATGAGATGAAATATATTAGATATAAAAGGTAGATTGAATCTGATTTAGGGGTGAGAAGATATTCTGAGGACTGCAGAAGGCAAGGGGTGTGAATGCCCTGATTTTTGATAAAGCTGCATGAGGACAGATTCTCTGCCCGTCGTTGCCAACATCTCAAACAAAACAAGGCAGAAGACTTAGCCCCCATTTCTGTATTTTTTGAATTGCATAACTGGCATATATTGTCCTTATCACTGGGAAAAAAATTATATGTACTATAGAGAACCATGAAAAAATAGAGTATGTTGGCCAAATAGACTATTAACTGAAAATTCAGTTTCCTGACTGTTCGCTCCTGTTGAGCTTATACCATTGTTCTATGCCTAAGGATCACAAAAAATTTACATGTCTAAAACAAATTCTTTCAAAATATGCGATTTTTCCCTTCTCATGCATTGGAGTTCAAATAAGACTTTGACAAATGAAAAGTGACACTATCTACCCCATTTTAATGATATGAATTATCACTAATGCCACTATGAATAAAAGTGAAAATTAAAAATCAAAGAAGAAAAGGGAATTAATTAAATAGCTTGGCCAAATACACTTCTCCGATCTGGGCGACAGCCCCAACAGATCATTTATTTAGTTTGTCTACTGGGTCACACCCTGTCAGCCAGGGTGTTGTTTGGAGGGGATGTAAACTGAGTGTTTTGCTTTTGTACACCTGCAGAAGGCACAATTTAAAATCTAGTCTTCAACGTGTCATCCACGAAAAACTTAGCCTCCAGGTCACAGCATGCCAGCCTCCACATGACAGTACCTGAAAATCGAACGCGAAAGGGAAACTCGGATCTGGGCAGGACGCGAGCAGTGAATGCAGCACGTCTGGTGAATTCTGAACACGCGAGTCCCCTCAGACACGCGCCAACTATTCTATAGAAGCTCGTCTAGGTACCCGGATGACCGAATCACTTGAGCCTCTGAGCGACAGACCTGTAGAATCTTGAGAACTTTAAAAAAGCAAGTTCTTTTATCCAAACATGTTTCACATATGGGTTTTAAGGTTAGTTTAACAGGTGGGAAAGAGGTGGACTGGGCGTCTCTCCTTGGACATACGCCCATCAACATGCCTTAGAAGGCCTCATCTGTCCTGTAGGGCCTCACTTGGTCATCCTTGAAATGAGGACACCGGGTGATATCAAGCGTGCCTCGCAGGTACCAAATACTGTGCTCAAGGTCACACAGGTTATCACAGGGCTCAAGGAATCCTTCTACCAGAACGCTTAACACCCAGGACTGCCATCCTCCAGGGCTGGTGAACTAGAGGACGGTAGACTGGCACGAGGCATTAGAAACGTGACTAACCAGCCTGGCATGGCCCTAAGGTGGTTGATGTCATTTAAATGAATTAAAGAGTTCCCCCCTCTAAATCCAAGTGGCTCCAGAACAACGGGAGAGTAAGCCTTTTTTTTTTTTTTTTTTTTTTTTTTTTTTTTTTTTTGTGGGGATAGCCATTTTAGAGGGGTCGGTGCTGTGTCCTGTGATGGCCTTTCTTGTGGTCCCTTGTGATCACTGATCTTCTAGTAACACAGATAGAGCCACCACTGTAGGCAGGAACTTCATAAAACAACACCTCTAGATAAACAAAATGAAAAAGAAACAAACTAGCCATAGCACTAAAAATCACTATTCTGGAAATCAATTCTGCATCCTAAGTTTGACTACAGATTTTTTTTTCTTTCATTCAAATTAGCAATCACTGTTCATCTATGTTTAAGAGGGCCCCCTTATTTTGGACACACATATCCTAAGGTTTATGGGTGGCCTGTGGATAAAAGAGCTTCTCCTGAGGCCACATTTTCAGGCAAGTGTCAGACTTGCCCCATGGTTCATAACATGAGGCAGAACAAGGCAAATGTTATCAATGTTTAAATTTCCATCAAGAGATTTCTCAGATCCTCCTCCTTTATGAAGTATCCAAAGAGCAAATCTCTCAATATTTGGGGTCAAACAAGCTTGGGTTTGAATCTTGAATCATCTACATATTAATCGCCTGACTTTAGTCATATTAAGTAAATGTCCTGTTTCTATCTTCTCACCCAGGAAACTAATACTTTTAAATGTTAAAATGATTCCATTCATAAAGGTACTTAGCGCAGCGACAGACTGTTGGAGATGCTCAGTAAATATTAATTCTTTCCTGGAAGCGATCCTCTCTCAGCAATAAACTAACGAGGAAGAGGAACTTATTGGCAGAGAGAGGAAAGTGAATTCCTGGAAATGTCATAGCAGCTTGGAATGCAACTGCCTCCGCAGAAGGGCTCATCATCCAGAGGTAAGAACAGAGTTCATGCTCTTCAGTCCTGGGCAACATATTTCCCGTGGTAAGAAATGTTTTTCAAGCACCTTGCTTTTTCTTACCGACAGCCAGTGTTCTCATCCCTGGCCACAGACACCTCACTGGTTTCATTTTCCCTCTAGTCCAGCAAAACCTTGCAAATGGGGTCATTAATTACTAGAATATGTCATGCACAAATTGTAGTGTTTCTATTAATGGAAAATAAATTCAGATTTCAAAATTTTATGTCTACATCCTGGACTCCTAATTACATGCTGTTTTTACCTGCACACTTTGTCATTACACTAACACAATGTAAAGGTACCTGATAATGATGGTCTCCATGGTACCCGTTTGGGGATGCAAACATAAGGGTTATGATGATGATGTAGCCCATCGGAGGGATACATACAACTGACATGAAAGGGGAAATTATGATGGGGAATCAGCCCTCGATAGATAGACTACGCTGGATGCAATCTTGTATCAGCCAAAAAAAAAAAAAAAACCACCGGGAACATGTTTTTGTTTTGTTTTCTGTCGGATACAAGATTTTGCAAAATGGGCAGCATATGGGCATAGACCCTGCATATAAAAAAATCCGAAAAAGAGAAACCACTGCAGCAAAGGATTTGCATGTTGTGGTCTCCCCATGACGTTAGGAGGAAGGCTTGACCTAAGGTGAAGGAATGAGTCAGCTCAGTAGCGTCCTCGAAGCTCTTAAGATGGCCTTTGGTTGGCTACTCTGTTTCCTCTGTCCTGTCATTGTTCAATCTGATCAGATGAGGTCCCCTCTCTAGAGACTCTTAGAGAGCTGACGCCGAGCCTTGCTCCTGTTTTGTTCACTTCCGACCCAAATCTACGTGCTCTATCCTTACTGCACAAACCTGAGATGAAGTAGGTCAATCTACCACTTTAGAAGCTCCCACGCACTTGAAGACAGTTATACAGTCAGTTGCTAGAAGAATAATCATTATTTGATTACTTTCCTCTGAGCCCTACCACATATTTCCCTAGAAATGTGGCAATAGCTCTATCAGGATCATGGAAAAAAAAACGTATGTATGTATATATACAGATATATACATCTACATACTATACATATATATATATATATATATGAATATAGTATGTGTCTCAGAAGTCTTAATGGAGTTTTAAGCTTTAATACTTTTATAAGTATATATGCTACGCAATTGCAAAAGACATCATTGGAATGTTTAATTACTTAGATTTAATTTTTTTAATCTTAATTTTTTTTTAAGTGAATTACACCACTGTGGGACTTGAACTCATGATCCCAAGGTCGCAAGTCACATGCTCTAACAAGTGAGCCAGTCAGGTGCCCCTAGTTATTTAGATTTTAAATACTCATTTAGATATGTGATTATTCAAAACTTAATTGAAGCTTTTGATGCCATATTTGCCATCCTCAACTGAGGAACTGAAATAATAGAAATTTCAAATAAAACTTGTAAAGTTTGTATTTTTTATATTTTGGATATTACTTCTGCTCATAGATGACCTTAATAGCTTATGTATACATATTAATGAAGAAAATTGTCTGACCCAAGACTCTGATGGCTATAATGTCTTCCAACTGAGTTAAGGAGTTGTACGCCAAGAGGAGATCATCACGATCTTTTAATTAACACCTTTGATACTGAGGGATCAGCAAAACATGAATTACAATACATAACATTGCAGGAATAACTTTATATGCATGTGTGCATGAGACATCTAAGTGTGCACTGTTGGTTGGTATTAATAGACTTTTCTTTATTGTATTTACCACTTCCCTTAAAATTAACTCTTCCGCCATTGTTGTACCAGGAAAATTCTCTCCTCCGTGATAGGGAGGGAAAAATAAACGTACTGCCTAAGTATTTCTTGTTTTAAGACAAGGACAACTACCAAGGAATTCAGTGAGATATAAACATTTAGGGTCTTTAAGTGAGTTGAGAAATCCCAGGAGTTAGTTAAATCAGTGACCAAAGGAAATCTTGAAAGACTAATGTGTCTGTTCCACCAAAATGACCTTTTTGTTGTTGTTGTTGGGCTGGGGAGGGAGTGAGTTCCCAGATAAGCCATGTTGTAATGGACAAACTGCCACAGTGAAATTCAGGCAGGAAAGGAACATAATTATTTACACAGAGAAAATGGCAGTGCATTAAAAGACATCTGCCATTTTGATCTGCCAAGAGAGCATCTTCCATATTGAAGCAATTAAGAGGGAAAAAAAATTCCATAGAAATCTATTTGGCTATCTTTAAATAACAAAAGTAAAAAACCAGAAGCATATTTTGATGCTATCTGATACTGCTCATTAAAAAAAAAAAAATGTTCTAAGCTTAGGGGGTAAAAAAAAAAGGTGAGGTGGGAGAGAAAAAAAGATGTTTGCTAATTGGTCTAATCTGGGTGAATCTGTCGTGACTATCCTGATTTATTCAGCCAAACCTGCATTTCATGCACATTTTTTGTTGTTTTGGTTTGATTTTTGCATTTTTTAGTAGTTCAAACTAAACTCTGAATGCATCAGGTATCAGAGCTCATTTGATCTTCAACTTGGCCCACCTTAGATAATACACTTGCCAAATTTCAAGGTCATCTCTGCCTGGATCCAAACCCTAGATGTCCTATTTAACTTTGTGGAATAATAGATAATGAATGGAAAGAAGAGGTGGGTTATGTGCTACTGACTCCTCAGAACATTCCAACATTATAAGGTGGGTGTTTTTTTCAGCCTGAAGCTTATATCATAACATAATCATTTCCCCCTAACCATAGTGGATCCCTGAAATTTCTGAGACACATCACATTTCCCCCCCCCCCCCCAGACATTCTTTCATTTTAATCCTTGCATTTGGTCTGTAAGTGCTGGGACATTGCCCCCACTGAGCTCATGTTCTAATGGGAGACAGACAGGGAAATGAGTATTTAAAATGCAAGAAAGGGAAAAATATGAAAAACTATGGCAGTGTCCCTTCCTCATAGGATGGAGCACTCAAGACGGGACGAGGATAGCCTGCAAAGCTTTGCTTCAGTGACTTCATTTATGGGGAGACCTGAAAGAGGAGAAATAGGCAGGAGGAGTCCATTCCTGGCAGAGCAAAGTATATCAGAACAGCTCATTTTCCCATGATTATGGAAGATAGAAAGAAGAGACTGTAATCAGGGAACTATGAAATTACCTAGTTTTTGATGGAAGTCACGCTGACACAAGATACAGAAGAAACATCAAAGGTGAAGAATGTCAAATGAAATAGGGAAGCTGCTGCCCAATGTTGAAAGGGCTGCTCTTTCAATTTGTTGACTTAAAATCCTAAGAGTATTTTTGCTGGTGTTAAAATAGGGGCTTATTGCAAGCTCCTAAAACTGCCCTCTCTTGCTCAAATGACTGAGCAGTGTTTCAATAGCTAAATAACCCCATGATCTGATTTGCCTCCAACTTTCTTATTGGAGAGCAAGCAACTCTGGGATTC